ATAACGTGGTTCTTACGAACGTAGCTCCCGTGTTGAACGAGTGAGACATACATACTCATCGGATCAGAGCAACAGTGAAGGGAAATAGATGAAGGAGAAGACTAAAATCGGTTAGGTATACAGACTCAAGAATAGTGCAGAACCCTCTTCATAAGATGACTGAGAAGTTCTCAGTTTACCTCGTAAGGGTTCGAGGACATAGGGACACAGAGAGGAGCTGTACAGGCGTTGAGCTGGCAAGACACCGCACCACCGTCCCTGTCATTCTGTATAAGGAACGTATCAGTATACCGATGGCCAGCTGCAAGCTTTAGCCTGGAATCACTGCGAAGTGGAAATTACACGTTCTTCTCCCCTACCACAGTGGTTCTTAGGAGCCAACTTCCTCCCAACGTTATCAGCATTATCCAGAAGGAGGCGGAGGAACATTTTCAAATTCATCCAAGCCTCTAGATATACAAGTATGTAGTTGATGCGCAGGCACGCAGAAACCATTTTGTGTTATTTTTATGTACTCGTCACAACAGCAAAATACTTGTAAATTCCTCTTAAACCGAATGCCAATTAGCGGCATGAATAATAACAGAAACGCCTTCATTTTATTCAAAGCCGAGCTTCACTGTTCTCTTCACGCAACCCACGTGTTTGAGTGAAGGAATGGCGAATGCGTAATGTTAGCGCCATGCTGCCCACATATGTATGTAATTAAAACATAACATAACTAAGCTTTTTTCGTTTCATTTCGTGGCGAACTTTAGCATTCCATTATTAAAATAAAAATAATATCGAAATTACGTAAGCACGATGCAACAAACCTGTAATAAAAAGTATGAAACAGCAATAAAAAAATGTGGTCTGCAAAAACTGGGTGTGTGGACATGCATGAAAAAAACGATCTGCTCGACATTCCTTGGGGATACGTAAACAAAGAGAGTAACACACATACACACATACTATATGTACAAGTAAACAAAAAATGTGAGGTGGCTGGAGTTTGTTTATGTATGTGGAGTTTATTTTTGCATAAATTCCCATTTGGGAATATTAGCAAGAGAGGCCACTGTGGCCCATGGTGCTTTGCATACATATACTTAGTATAATGGGACTTACAGATTCTAATTAAAAAATTGCTTGGGGTTTATTTATGTATGGTAATATAAATGTTCTTTATTTAAAATATGTTAGCATGTGGAAATGCGTTCTCAGTTTATGTTTGTGCTGGGCAGGATATTGTATAATTAGAGCTGAGCTCTTCGGGCACAAGTCGCCCACACCTTTTGCTGACAAGCACTTACAACAACAAAAGTGCACCTTATGTCATATTGACGTTATTAAAACGCCCAAATGCCGGTTAGTCATTAATGGATTTGTCAATCAACCCTTCATGGCAGCCTATGCGTGTATATTGTTCCCTGTACTTGAAGGGAAAAGGGGAGGACTAGACTAGGACTATAGAGTAGAGCTAATTCTGTGTTTACTGGGACGGTGGTCATAATTACTTCTAGTTGTCATATTTTATGAAATTTTTACCATAATTCTAGAAAAATATTCTGAACCTATAATGAAAAAAATTGGCCATATCGGACAACTATATCCTATAGCTCCTATAGGAACGATTGGGCCAAATTTAAAAAAACATTGTTATTTTCGTTGTAAAACTTTTTTTATTATAATTACATTAAAATTATTATTTTGAGGGAAAGATCGTGGATTCTTCTCAGTACGCCTACATAAAGTCAATAATTTGTTGAATTATATAATATAAAAAAATAAAAAACAAAAACTCTAAATCATTATCCAATCGATTGATTCCATACAAGAATAGGTGATTGGTTGCTTGGTTCTTCCTTAGTGAAAAAACAAGGATTTTTTAAGAACAAGTATTCATATTATTTTATTAAATCTCATGCACTCTAGGCTTAAAAGTATGTAATGCAAATTAAATTTATGACAAGTTCAGGAACTGAAAACAATTATGTATGTATGTAAAACAAAAAAAATGGGTTATCCAATTTTTATGGTAAAAAAAAACTTAAAAACAAAATTAGAATGATAATCATAAAGGAAGACATATTTAATCATCAGTTACTCGAATTCGAATGCGTATAAAATCACTATCATTGGTGAAATAATTCTGAACTGGACTTTCTCTTGTTCGTTTATACATTTTTAACAGTGAACTCTGTTTTGAGCCGTTGCTGGCCAATTGTTGCTACCTCTTTGTATAATTCTTTGTAATGACCCATACAAGAATGGTTTCTAGCTATTTGGAAGCTGTGTGTGCTTATATTTATTTGTGTTGAGTTATTTTAAATCGTGCTAAATGGAATAAAGTCGTGTAACAAAATAAAACACACCGTTTTAAATCAAAACCGTGTGAAAAGAGAATTAAGTGTATATTGTATATATTCTTAATCAGCATCAAGAGAGAAATAGATTCAAACATGTCGGTTCGTCTGCCTAGATTTCGGACGCAACTGAGCCCACATTGACCAAACTTGGTGTGCAGATGAATTTATTTATTTATTTTTTTTGAGTGTTCTCCACCTTCCTGCGCTATTAAATTTCACTGCCAAAGCCACATAAACCAAACTTTGCACACATAGTTAAATTCAGTTCTCTACTTTTGTTGAAATTTTCATCCAAATCGGTTAAATGAAAAGTTATTAGGAATAACTGCAGGGCTGTAGCCTTCTACATAAAACACTATTACTTGTATAAATTAAACTAGGTATTATATAACTTATGCTATAATTGGATTCATAGTGCAAACCCATCGTTTTCTTTTTATGTTTTGTTTGTCCCAACAAATGTAAACAAATACACACGAGTATGAACATCTCTTTTCCATGAGTGTCAACTGCGGCGCCTACTTCAAGTACATCTGCAATATAACTTTTCGATCCAACACAATTGCACTTGACAGCTTAAAATGCTTAATTGCGAACTTTCTATTTGTATTTCATTTGGGAGGAAACATGTGTGTGAACATACTATATTTTACTACTATATTAACAAGCGCAAAGAATGCGCGCGTGCGTCTATTGGTGTGTGTGTGTGTGTGTGCCTTTCACTTGTTTTACGCAAAGCATAAAAGATGCGTGCAGGCGACTTAGTGCGTGTATGGGTGTGTGAGTGTGTGTGTGTGTGTTTGGTTGTGCGTGTGAGCACGCATGTTTGCCTGCGCTGCCCGCCTTTGTTTGCAACATTTTAATGAGAAAACTTTTACCAGCCCTCACGCACACACACACTCTCAAAGTATCTAAAAAAAAAAAAGCACATACTATATTCCTCTTTTTTATTTCTTTTATTGTATTGACATCGTACGCTGGAAAGTTCCCCAAAAAAGCGTTCGTACTACTATTTGTTATTTGCCAAAATGGGACGCACAAAATAAGTAACAATGCATGAGAGAACTTTTATTTGCTGTTCCGTTTCATCTTCTTCTCTTATTTGGTTTATTTGTATATATGTATGTGTGTACGTATACACGTATACACGTATGTTAGTATGTATGTACGAGTGTTTATAGAGAGATAAAATGGCAGTTGTGGGAACTTTGTGCATTTATTGATGGGCTTTTTGGCAAACATAATTTTTGTGTTTTTGGACTTTGATTTGGATTTGCGTTCGTTCGGATTCTGATTCGGATTCGGATTCGGATTCGGATGTGTGTGTTAAATAACTTCCCTGCGGCGCAATAAAACTGTAACAAATAAAATCGCATAAAATATTGTTAAGTGAAAGTAAATCAATTTGTGGTTATTCGCTTCGCATCCTCGTAAAGGAAGAGAAAGAAAACAAAAAAATATTGCTTCATTGGGCTTCATCGGCATTTGTCTTACTTTCGTTTCCGCCGTTTCAGCACACTGTGGGCAACGATGTAGCTAGCATTGATGGTCCTTTTATTAAATATTCTACAACTTTTTCTTCACGATATTAAGCACAAATGTAGTGAATTAAAATAAGATGTTAAAATAACGTTTTTCCCGTTTTAATGGCAAATACTTGTTGGAGCTGAAGGGGTGGGAGCATCGCTGGGAGACATGTGTTGACTTAGAACTATATTGGACTATAATGGAAAACAAAAAACCAACTTTTAATACTGTTGTAATATTGTCAGGCTAGGAACATTTTGGACTGTCCTCGTACATAGCAGAGCACCGAAAATGTCAAGACAATGGCACCATTATCCGTGTCTATTGGTACTTCAAAAATAAGCAGCATAAAGAAATGAAAAACTGTGATCGCAATTAAGAATTCAATCTGCAAAGTAATGTTATTTACGGAATTTCTAAATAAACAATTGAAAGAAAGCGTTCCGGAATTATATGATCCCGATGCATTGACGACGACCACTCTCATTAAAAGTGGCGCAAATTCCGTAGTGGGGAGAGGGGATGGAAAATCAAAACAAAAACTCGTATAGATATAGCAAAAACGACAAAAAATGCCTCGTATGTATGTAGAAAACAAAAAGTGCTCAAGAATGTAAAACCGTTTGAAAAATCTGCCTCAAGAGCAAGAGATTTGCTGAAGCTCAGGATTTGTTATCTTCTTACATATACTATTTATGAAGTTACTTATCATTTTCCCAATAAATTAAAGGTCTCTCGTACATCTTCAAATTTAAGAGTATATTTCAAGAAACAACGTTTTATTTTAAATCCGTAACTTGCCGTTTTTGCAAGAGCCTCCTTTAATGTGCCTCCTTTAATCTGAAAATGAATTTAATAGAAATGAAATAATTTCTTCATTTGCTTTCGTGCAGATATGTTGAGCATTATACTAATTGTGTTGCTCCTCTTTTTAAAATTAAATTCAAAAATTGGCGCCAGATTACAGAAACAAAGCCCGAACAAATACTGTAAGTGTAAACTGGAACATCATTCTTTACTAAATGAGTTGGTGTTCTTTGGAGTGGTATTAACATTTTCGTAATACAAATAATTCGTGTACATAATTGATAGACAACAGTTTATATCTCTTTTTGCTTGCAGCTGGATTTGCAACTACAAGACGAAGCCGGCGGCGATATCTCAAGTTTTATAACGAATGGTGAATGGGACTTACTGGGTAAGTTGATCATTGACAGCCGAACAAGTATAAAAGCCTTGCACACCTTTTGATAATACCCATCTATACTATTGAATATTGAAAAAATATTACATAAATTTTGTTTCTCTTACTAACAATACAACTACATATAACAAAAACACTATTTATTTGTAGCCCAAGCAAACTGATGTACTAATTAACGCCTTTAAACAATTCTCATCTTCTCTTCTACATAATCCCATCACATCTTGTTTCAAAAATAAAAATCAAACGATTGGCATAAACTGAAACAAATCAATGAACTAAACAAAAAAACTGAAAAACTAAAAAAAACAGGTGTGCCCGGTAAACGAAATGAAATCTACTATAATTGCTGCCCAGAACCTTATATTGACATAACATTCGCCATTTTGATACGACGCAAAACTTTGTACTATTTTTTCAATTTGATTGTGCCGTGCGTACTGATCGCCTCGATGGCACTGCTAGGGTTTACACTGCCACCAGATTCTGGTGAGAAGCTCTCGCTTGGTAAGTGCAACGCTTTTCTTTCCCGGTCCGTAGGAATACCCCGGGCACGCGCTCGAAAGTAGACTACAAAACCAATTAAAACAAACACTTAGCGCCACATGTGACGTTTTGAGTTGATTATTAGTTACGTATTTAATGGTAACCTGCGTACATGCCCCATAAGCCGATAGAATCCTATCTTCAAATCCAACAGCAGCAGCAGCAACAGCCGTTGTAGTTTTAAGGATTTAATGCTAGTGAACACAACATTTTGTATAGTATACCCAAAAACCTTGACTGCCGCTTGACAAATGCAACTTTAAATGCAATCCAATGGCCGCCGGCAACTGCCGACACACAAAGCGAGCACAAAACGAAAACAGGGAGAACGGCACACAAAAAGGGCCGCCATCATTTGTAATCAACGTCAGAGTGTGCAGCACAACAGCAAGAAACAAAAACTCAAAAAAGGATAAAAAAGAAGAAAATTTTGAAAAAAAAAAAAACGAAAAGAAAGTATATTCATAGGCAGCTAGCTGGCTGCCTTCCTGCAATAAGAATACAAATCGTTGCCAACACAGTAAACGAGAGAATAAAAGGAAAAGGGGAGATGAATGTATTTTACGCTGGCGACAAATGAAATTTAAAACACTCACAATAGAAACAGGCAAACTCCTCGTTTTAAAGACAGGCGCACAAGTAGTCAATGGTGAATGAGAGAGCGGCGAATTTTGGCTGCCAACCATATCTGATTTCGTTTTCAAGGGTCCATTAGTGTACACTGTGACAAATAGTACATGCATTTCAATAAAATGCTGGAGACATCTTCATTTTAAATAACAACATGTTTAACTGATTCACTTCGAAGCACTCAGAAAAGTCGGAGCTTAATCAATATTATCATTTTATTTATTAACTTTCTAAATGAACATTTCAAATTATTCCATTGCAAAGACATAAACATAACAATTCCATTTTCAACCTTTAACAACAGCAACAAGAACAACAAAAATTGAAAGAATTGAAATTTGAATTTGTTGGGCAAAAGCAAATCCTAATTCAACTTTAGTGTTCTCTGTCCTTCTTAATCAACACCGTCCTAAAAAGGTGTTAATAAAATCGACTCGAGTCCAAAGCTGTGTTGGCTTCAAACTAACAAACTAAATATGCACATATACTTGTATAGAGATGGATTTACTGAGAAGCTATAAAGAGATATGTGTATTCAGCTGAGAATAGGAAGTCCATCAAAGTCTGTTCATTGACAATTACTCACGTGATTTCATACAGAACTACAAATTTGAATAGGTATATACGGGTCGTCAGCCTTTGTGAGAGACTGTATATACATGCAGATATATACTATATTTGTATACGAGTATATAGTGTGCCACTAGCCATTAACTTTAGACAACAACATATTTTATAAGCTGTGGAAAAATCAGTTGCTGGCATTTCTGCTGCTACAGCCGATCCATATGGTCACGCCAGTCTTCAGCATACTTGCAACATAAATTTTAACTCTCAAACACACACACACACACACACACACACACACACATGTGTACACGAGCGTACCAACACACGCACATGTCAAGAGTTGCAACGCGAACGCCCAAATCTTTGGTCGAAACTTGCGCTCGTTGGCACGATAAATCGAAAATAAGGATTTTCATTTTTTGGCGCACATACGTGCGTGTTCATCATGCAGCTAACACTCACACACACACACACACACACACACACACACACACACACACATGCCGCAAACATTAGCATCACGTACTTTAAACATGCAGCATATGGCGCATGTTAAAAATTTATACAATATATTTTATCGAGTTTATGAGCAGCTGCAAACTTGTGCTCTCCCCCGTTCTCTTAGTCGAGTCTCTTACTGACTCAAAGTTTGCAGCTCACAAAAATGCCATATTTTAAAAATTGTGCATAGATACAATACACTAACACAAGCACGCATACTACTTCCTACGAGTGTGTGTGCGGGTTTTTTTTTTGTGTTGTGTTCTGGCCAAAATACATTAGAGCCGCCCGCCCTCTCTTTTAGCCACTGTCTCATGCATAATAGACAAGTTTGCAAAAACGCTGTGGCTAATTTATGTTCGCCTGACACTTTCACCGCCTGCCGACTGACTTTTGACATAAATTATATAACCATAAAGCGAACGAACGAACGGACGAGCAGACGAACAGACGAACCATCCCAAAAGAGTGTGTTCTTGCGTCACAAATATGCGTGAGCAGCAGCGGCAAAAACTACTAGCTGCCACATGAGGCAACTTTTGATAACACACTAAGCTCTGCCTGACAGTCTGGCGCATCAATTCGAGTTGCCATTTCAGCAACAAAGCAATAAATAATGATAAGCTACGCCCGTAAGGAAAACGTACAAGAAAGCAAGCAAACAAGCAAACAAACAAACAAACAGGCTTACAAAATATGCCAGAAAATGTTTTATTAATAATTTTCATTTCATTTTATTTTAATACTTGCTTGGTTGTTTCTTCTTTTTTTGTGGGTCGACAGATGGCTACACAAATACATATTTTAACTTAAACCCAGAAACAAACCGCAACATAAAAATTGATTGATGAGTTGCACGAAAGGTACAAAACCATAAGTGTCGGCTTGTCAGAGCTTAAATACGAAAGAGTCAACATGTATAGCTAGGTATATACTTGTATACTACTTTTAGGAATACACGACGCACACGAAACAACAAGTGATTTAATGAGGAGGAGACCAAATTAAGAAATACTCGTATTTTTATTGAATCCGGCACGATCGCCACTCGCCCTTTGTTACGCAAATTCAATTCGCTGCATATGCAATATATTACTAGAATATAAATTATTCATATGTACAATACCGGATTATTTGAAAAAAAAAAAAAAAAAAAACGGCAAGCGTTTTTACGCTTTTGTGTAAACTGTACAGACTCTCGAGATAAAGCACAAAATTTGACAGCAGCGACAACAACTGAGGTTCGGCGCAGGAAATACGGTAGTAGTTTTTTATTTGACAAACACACACACACACACACACACCCACACACATACACGCACGCATATACCCACATACAATGTACAACATACGCCCACGGAAAACAGATGCAGCAGCAACAACAGCCACTAGAAAAAGAACAACAGCCGCATGGAATGCAAATCGGAGAAGCAACCGGAGTTGGAGTTGAAAAAGTGCAGAAAAAATTAAACAACACTTGAATGCAATTATTTCTTTAAAGCTCTTTTAAATGCTAGAGAATTTTGTAGGTATCTCTAAGATACTACTGTGGCCATATTTTGATTGACAATAACAAAAACTGTAGCATAACATTTTGGTTTTCATCTGGAAATTGACAATGAATAGTAAATAGAGCTTGTCAATTTTCATTTGTGTTGCGCACTTTCTGCCCATTAATCATATTCTAATAATATTGTTTTATTCTCTCCCCTCTCTCTCTCTCTCTCTCTCTCTGTCTCTCTCCCTCTCTCTCCGTTTCTCGATTGCCAACTGTTTATGCGCGTCGTCTCTCTATTTATCTAATTCTCTAACATCCATCCAACATGCAATGTTGCAATATAAATATATTTTATGGCACACACTTGCAGGAGTTACTATTTTATTATCGCTCACAGTCTTCCTGAATATGGTGGCGGAAACGATGCCGGCAACTTCCGACGCTGTGCCGCTGCTCGGTAAGTGAATCCTAACAGCTGCATTTCTATATAAATTTTCATTATGTCGCATAGCAAGGAAATCGGCATTATGGAAATCACTTGAGAGCAGCAGCCTAAAAATACTTGAACTAATGAGAAAAGATTTTTACATTTTGCACAGCAACAGACTTTAATTAAACCATTTTTTTGCGTTTTTTTAATTGTGTTGTTTGTGTACTCTGCGGTCCTTTTTTTGTGGGGTGCCGGCCGTTTTTTTTTTTTTTCTGCATTCCCTCTCTTTTTCTCTCTCCCTTTTGTTTTAAGCGTTTAAAAACGTATTAAGCGACGCGCATACCTACTCGTAACTTTATGCAGCGCAAGAAAAGTTGAAATTAATTTCGAAAAAAATCTGGCGCTCTAAATGGTATTTTATGGCTTATGATTTGCCACATACATGTCGCGCGCGCACACACACACACACACAGACACACACACACATGCATATGCTGGCAAAAAAGGACACGGCTTTAATTTGGTGTGGATTAAAGCGAAAACAAAAAGGGAGTAGCCTCCGCAGGAAGCCTGAGAAAAATCTAGCACCAATCAAGCAAGGGGCAGGTAGAGTTTTTTCGACTCTACCATCAACTTTTTATGTGAAACAGGACAACAACAGGCAACAACAACAGCTAACAGCAATATAACAGCAACAGAGAGACCTCAACAAAGTTCCAACTTAACTTGCTCCCAGCGGCCTTGTGGCTCGTCCAGCGCAACGCCGCCCCCGCCCCCGCCCCCGCTTCTGCTTCTCGTTCAGTTTCAAATAAAATCAAAACATATTGCACCTTGGAGATTTTCATCGCTATTAGTTTCAAATTTGAAGTTTCCGTTGTAAGATTGAAAGCAATAAACACGTGCAACAAAATTACCTGTTTCGAGTTTCATCTCCGTCTGTGGCGCCGCCACTTAATGCCGCACGCAGTTCACCAAACTTTTCTTTCTCACCTCATTTTTATTTTATGGGGCGGCGCAAGCGTTTGAATGTCCATACATACATACATACATGTATTTTTATTATTACTGTATGTTTTTTTTCCTTTTTTTTTTTTGACTGAACGCACGACTTGGTTGCTGTTGTACGTGTAGTTGTTGTACCCGAGGGGTAAGAATTGGACTTTGTAAATCGCATGAGAGCGTCAACAGGTGGTTATTTACATGCATAATACACATGGGACTAAATATATCCAATAATATACAATTGTTGTTAATTCTTAGTATGACAGATTATTTTTCATTGATTGATGGAACTTAGTTTCCCTGTGTTGCTCACGAGCTCAAGAGCCCCTGTGTTCAGTTCGAAAGACTCTCTTTTGACTTAACAGTATTTAGTAAACTTTTTTTAATTATAGATTAGAGTCCTTGAAACAATGACAATAATTGCTGTACAAATTATTGGTCAACCAATGCCCTTTTCTTTATATTTGACAAAACATGGTTGGAAATGGAATGGAACCATGTTTTTTCTATGAAGCCTTGTTCACTTCAAGGTACTGTATTCACGATGAGCAACTTGTGGGGCATTGGTATATGTATCTTGTATATGACCTACAAGATAAGTACTACTAAATAAATCTCTGGTTTTGACAGCCAAAGAGCAACACACACTATTTGCTTACGTATTAGTGTGTATGTGTCTGTGTGTGCTTAACATGATGTTCAATTAAGAGCGAGGTAAGCGACTTGATAAAATAAAAAAGAATAACAAGCATAAAAAAATATATAAATATACATACTATATACTATATACTATATACTATACATGGTAAGGTCCCTCACACACGTGATTGAAGGTTCAACCGTGGTTATCCCCACATCATTTAATAACTTATTACATGCAGCAAATAATACCTATGAGTGATGTATTGCATTGTATTGTATTGGATTGTATTTTATTGTATTGGATCGTATTTTATTGTATTGTATGGCATTGTATTTTATTTTACTGTACTGTACTGTATTGTATTGTATATTATTTTATTCTATTTGTATTTTATTGTGCAAGTATTGTACCATACTTGTATTGTGTATTTTATTTGATTGCATTTGTATGTATTGTATTGAATTTTATTGTATTGTATTGTATACTTAGATTGTAAGAGAATGAAGCGCGTTACAAGCGCATACGTACATATGTGTTGTTAAAATTGTAATTGTAGAGTGTATCAACAGGAAAACATCAGCAGCCCCGCGGTGCTCAGATTACAGCAAAATAAAACCCAAAAAGGAAAGTCAACACACAACGCTGCCGAGCTACATCTGTATGTCGCATTTGCACAAACACACAGACAAATAAGCCCCTGAGTTGAATGGAAAAACTTCTATTTTATAGTTCATTTCCACTACCATCTCTCTATACTCGTACTACAAGTATACGTACAGATATACTACAAGTATATATTTATATGAGAATGTTTGTATGCGTTCTCAGTAATCCTTATAATGTCTTGTTTATGTGTTTTCAATAGCCATTGGAATTACACAGCATTGCCCAAAAAACTAAAACCCAAGACCAACCGCCCCCGTCACAGCCTCCTCCATCTCCATCATTGCACAAACGAGTAGGGTCCTCGGCCTTTAGATGCTGTTTTTCTATGCCCATTTGCCATGTATTTTTGTATGCCTTATCGTAGACCCAGCAAAGCGGTCATCACATTAATTACATTAGACATAAGCAAACCGTTGGCCTCCTAATGTGGCCTAGGTATACATACTATATACTAGTACGTAGTGCGCTCAGTTGTGTGTGTGAATGTGTGTTTTTTCTTTTCGATGATTGTTCGAGTATACTATAGTTGAATAGAAATACATACCGGTACGTAGTGTGTGTGTATTTATGCGACATGTAACTGGATCTAAAAATACTAAATAAGGTAACGAAGAATGCATTTTAAAACCTAATGGACTCATAAAGTAGTTGTAGTTCATTACACATTTAGCGCACATTTGTATATATTTTTAGACCAGAATCTAATTTTTCATTATAGCCTGTTTTGGGGTAAATAGATGATGTGTACACCTTTCTATGACTTGTCCCTGACCTATGGGGAAAGTTACCTTAAAATAAAATCAAATAAAACTGTAGAGAAACAAAACCAGTTTAGTCATTGTGACTCGTAGATATTCATTTTTAATTGCCCCTTCTTATATACATACATATATACTATATTCTAGTCCTCTATATTTTGTTTCTAAAAATGTCAGATGGTTACTAGCTATTATGTGGTTACACATTGCGAGGTAATTTTGATTAACTGCTTAAACAATACACTATTCGTATGCATCCAAGCTGTTACTTAAAAGGGTATGCAATATTTTTAATATATATGATGACAAAGTTACGAAATTGGGATCGAAATCGTTATATACAAGTATGTACATATATACGTTCCACGTTCAAGGCAATTTCGCATTTTTGAATACTGATTCCTCAACAACTCATTAAAGCTCGAAAAGCCAAAAAGACGTTATTTCTCGCATTAATATTGTACGTATAGTATTGTACAAACTAAGATCTAGGGCCTGACTTTTGATAAGTCTTTTGTGACATGTTTGGATACAAAAAGTATACAAATAATAGATACTTAGATGCTGCTGGACTGTCTATGTTATTCTATTGTTATTCATTCATTTGTTTATTTGAGTATTAGTTCGGAGAAAGTCTCTTTACAATATTGATATTGCAATACATTGATAGTGTAATCACACATTCATTCAAACATTTCGTTTTACGAGTTGCCCTATTGCATGTTATTTATAGTCGTCTTTTTTTTACCAGTTTACGGGCATATGCACCAAATGCGAATTATTACGACACTCGCACGATATGTTATATGACAACCTCACGCATACACACACACAGACACCCACTCTCACGCGCATATAGAACATCGTCACGAAACAGCAATACTAATGCATAAATATATAAATACACCCACACACACACACACCTACATACAATGTATCGAATAAAAAAATTTAATGCCCTTCTATCTAACGAGGACTGTGTGGCAGTCGACCAGCAATCAAGCAATCACACTAGCAAGCATACATACTACAAAGGGAATGAAAATATATAAAAACAACAACAACAACTACTACTACTACTACTACTACTACTACTACTACTACTACTACTGCTACTGCTTTCTGAGCAGGCAGCGAAAACTGTAAGCCAAACAAAAATCGTTAGCATCGAGCAAAAATAAAATGCAATAAAAAAGTATTAGGCATGTTTACAGGCCAGCATCAATAATTTTAATCAGTTTACTCAGTCGTAGTACTATCTGCGTCTTCCTTGACCCTTTATTCTCCTGTGTGCTCTACGTCTTAAACATTTCTATGGCATTTTTTTCCTATGTGTTTACCTTCTTTTGTATTCTTTCGTTATAAGTTTGTTTTTGTTCAATTGCTGTACTATTTGATTTGAGAAATGCGCATAGGCATTACATACATATTAAAATATATAAATATATACTGCGTACTTATATACTATATGCGATAATATATGTACTTATTTTCTTTTGCCAAGGACCACTACCACATAATGTAAAAGAAAAAACGTTCTTGTTGGCATGCAAGAACACAAATGCCTATAAGCTGATCATCGTCGTCAGCGCGCAATTGAATACCACACTCCCAACACACACACTCACACACGCAGACTCATTTATAAAAGAGACTCACACACACACACACACACACACACATTACTGAATCAAGCAATATGAAATGTCGATAAAACATGAAACATTAAGCTACTCGAAAATGCAGCTAAGTCAAATCATACATACTAGATGCATATAAGGTATGGTGTGGCAAACACACACACACACACACACACACTCCTACATACTACTTATGTTCATGCCTACAGAAGAAATCTTACATACTTACATGCATATTCATGCCGCTGCGGAGACGTCGCCAATTGAAGCATACTTTTAGGCGCCTTTGAACTTGCCGGGAGTGGCAGCTCTATGAAC